GGCGATCGAAACGTCGTGATGTATTATTTTTTGTTTTATTTTATTTTTATACCTACGTGACTCTACCGAAAGAACCAAAGAGTACGTAAAAATACAATATTGCTTTCAGGTTGGCCGGGATGGGCCACTGAAGAAGGCCCATTGCCTGAAACATCAGTCTGTTGTATAATTTTATGTTAGAATGTACATTTCAATGACACATACGGTGAGATATTGCAGCGCACCTTTCATTCTGTAATCGCACCGCTACTTGGAATGTGATTCTTAGAAATTAAGCTCCAATGCTAATTTTTGGTACTGTGTCTCTGTGGTTTTGTTGGTAGCCCTATATCTCCAGTCATGCTTCAATCAACAGATGCAAGTGATGGACCATCTATCAAATGGTAAGTCACTCCTTCATGTTCACTCTTTTGGTGGCTCTGAGTGAGTGGTGGAATGTCCATATGCAGGGGCAAATGTATCCAAATGATGTCAACCAGTTTGTTCCGAGAAAGTGGTACTAATTGTATTTACCCTGGAGGGATTATGGGCTGAGCCAACACCCAACAAGGATTTCAACTAGTTAACCTTCCAATTGTTTGATGATGGGTTTAACCACGGTGGCACCAGGCGAGATACCAAGAAATTAATGGTAATTTGTTATTAAATCCTTTATATTAAGTTCACTTGCGTGCTTGCTTGCTTGCTTACGACCGTGCAAATCTTTCGGTCGTTTTTTAACCCACTTCCCGTGATCCAATCGAGCTGACATTTTCCACACAGACTCGTTGTGCGTGACAATTAATGTTCGTGAAAATTTTTGTTCCAAAATTTTGCACTTTTTAGGACAAAAATATTATATTTAATTACCAATTGCTTAATGCTGCCATGCAATCATCTGACCCATAGGTGGCAGCCATCTCAAGTCAGAGGACGAGAGGACTCTAGCCGCCACGCATATAAAGGATTTATAGTGAAAAACCTTGTTTTTACGGGTTATACTTGTTTATATCTTCATCTTCTACTGAGACCACTGTGGTAAAGTATGGTCAAGCAACACTCATGACGAACATGACATGCAGAGGCTTTCATCCAGCATGGCATTGACAAAAGGTTGTAAATTACAAACGTTTAAATTATTCTATAATTATTACTGAGAAAAATGGCGCTACGTTTTATGAGGCTTTATTCGGGAGGATGCTGCTTGCCATATTTTTCTAATTCTAATTTGAATATTTTTGCAAATGGACGGGGAAATAAGCGTGCTTGGGAAAACCCATACACATGGTTTTAAATATTATTGTTATCAAGATCTAAATTGTCAAATCAGGATTAAGTGCACTATGCATTATTCTGGGATCTTCGCCGATTAGTTTAACCCGAGCCACCATTTATGGTGAACGCTGACATAAGTGCTCATGATGCATTCGCTGACACGCCAGGTTCGTAAAATGTGTGCCCGAATGTTGGAGGAGATTGGGTACAAATCAAAGGGGTGGGGAAGGGTAAAACAAGGTGATGGGTGGCTGATGGTGGGGGAAGCAGAGAATGCAACCCTCTGTGCATCACTTAAGTCATGAGTCACATCTGTTAATTTGGCTCTGTTCCAGTGGGCGGTGGTACTCTCTGAGACTGGGGATTGTAATGGTGCTGTTAAGTGGCGATACAAACCACCACCGTTGTGATTTTCGTTATGTGCCAAACGTCGTGATTTCGCACTTGTAAAACACGTGATAATTTCTCGTGGAGCTGCTCATGTTGTTAAACACTTCACTTATTCTCTAATCTATCACCAACCACGCTTTATCCCTTCAGTGCATTAATACTCTGAATGTATTCATCATCAGCCCTTGTCTATCCGCTGCTGCAGGAAGGCCTCCCCATGACATCTCCTCGTTGAGTCACCTTCTCAGACACATTCCCTCATTTGACTGCCATTCCATCACCGGTCTCTTAAATCAGTCATTATCTATTCTCGCACTGTGTCTTGTCTAAAATCAATTGTTTTTTTTTCCATAAAAATTAGTTTCCATATTTTCTTCTTTTTGTCTGTCAGTGTAATTCAATTATTTGAATTCTCCCCATAAATGTTTGTGCACTTTTCAGCTTTTGTTCCAGTTTATTTGTGAATGTCGATGTTTCTGATATTGCTGGTCATATGTACTGATTTAAAACTTTCTTATTCAGATACATCTGTATGCAGCCTTTCATGATCAATTCAGTTTTCAACAGCACTCCCACCTGTTCTCTAAATCTGCGTAGACTAATTGTTGTAGGTTCACATATTCGGTTACCTTTTCCAGTTGTATCACTCCAACAATTATTAAAAATGTTCAACTCATCAAACTTGTTGTGCTTGACTTCTGGTTTGCCCGTGGGTAGGAGCTACTGTATATGGAATGTTGCATCACAAGACTGAGGGATGGCTCATGAAGGTTTCTTTAACCAGGAAAGCCTCACCGAGTCTCATGACTCTGCCAAATTTTCACAGTAGCGGGTGGGGGTGATGTTCTCTACGTTTATAGTATTTCCGTTGAGAAAAACACCCAGAGCAGAAAATCCATGGCTTTGGTCTTCCACGAAGCTCATAGTCCACCCTAAACCGTATCCGCACAAACCATGCAGATATCTGATACACAAATGGAAAATTACAAATTCTCCAGCGTGCGCCTGTGGTCATCCAGAACAGACCATCCAACATACAGCGACGCAATGCCTGATCTACAATTACGAAGGAGACATCACAGCGATACACTCCGCTGCTCCCGACGCAGTCTTCTGGCTTGATCACCTGAATGTGAACTTTTAGTTGTCAGATTACACTATCCACTGTACAATAACTTGAAACCAGTACATCCACACATAGGTGAGGTTGATATAGTGAATCCCCTGAGGTTGTCTGCACTGAGGTGTCACGTAACTTGTATAAATACGCAAAAAACACTGTCCATTCCAAACATATAAACACAGATCCTTAGCCTAAATAAACTTCCTGGACCAGTGGGTTTTATGTTACTGTTACTACAGCATCTGGAAGAAACAAAATAACAAATACATAGGCTGAACTTCAAAGTGTCACTCCAAAAGTTAATAAAAAACAAGTAATTTACTGTATTCTATGAAACAAGGTCAGGGTGGTGCAGGTGGGGTGGCTGGGGAACCAATTAGCCATATAATGGAGCAATGCACCATCGCCGTGAAGCTCTTGCTGAGTTTGAACTGTGCACTTCAACATGATACAAAGCAAGCTTCCCATGCAGCTAGTTACGACTTTTGTGGTTTAGTCACCCAATGACATGAAGCAGTTATTGAATTTGGCTCGGTCTTTTAATTTGGTCAATCCCAGCGTTGTGGCATAACATTTGCAACATAAACAATGGAATGCAAGTAGTGTGTTACTCTACTCAAACGACCAAAAGGCATGTACCACAGTTAAAAGGTTACGTGTTCAAATCATGGCGAGGGTCATTTCAGCCCATTGTCAGCCTGGGGCTAATAAAACGGTTGCATCTGTTGGAAGGTCAACATCGATCATCCTCATGGCGAGACTGGCCCCTGACATCCACAGAGCCACCAATGAGAATTAGTGTCATCCCAATGCTTGCCTGAGAATAGAGACGCTTTGCCTTTAATTTCAAGATAATTTAAACAATTTAATGAGGGACAGTTATTGTGGTCAGATTATGTAAGGAAGTCCAGCACCATTAAATGACTCCTGAAACATGGCCAACATCACTTGTTTACATCTCTGGCATTTACATCCAAAAATGTAACATGTACATATAACAGCCCCTTTTGTGTCAATCAACTGGTGTGTACAAAGAAAACCCCGACACCGTGGCTTCATTGGGGATTACATGACCATACTTCTCCACGCTGGTCTGTATGATTGTGTTCGTGAAGACTATTTAGGGAGCACAGTATATGGCTTGTCCCCTTTTGTCCACAGTAGGAGGGGGAATTCCACCCCCCCTTCCCATACATCCCCATGGCAATGAAGAAGAACTACCAACATAACTTTGGCAAGTTAAAAAAAAACAAAGATCCCCCGTATAGCCTTAACATACTGTTGGGGCAAGTGCCGTTAGCAAGGGCGTGGGTGGCCAACACCACGCCTGGCCGCCTTTTTTCCCGAGTGGCCTATGTTTACACACCGCACGAGTTACTCATTTGAGGCTGAGTCGACCTAGGGGAGGCCCAGGAGCGGTTCAGATCATCGCTGTCACCGGTGTTGGCCGTGAGCGAGAATCGGACTCGGGTCGCCGGGTTTGTATCGCAGCGCGCTAACCGCTACACTACCGCTCCCCTCAACATCCCACACGCACACACAGACACACGGTGGAACAGAGTACACGGGTAATTTGTGGGTTTGCTCCAGCTACTCCGGTTTTTTTTCCCGGGTACGTACTCCCTCCAACTTCCAAACGTTCATTCATTGAGACTCCTGGAACAACAAGTGGGCGGATTAAGGGGACTACAAATACTGTATTGATATTACTACACCATACCGTGTCAACCCATCCGGTTTACCCTGTATTCTTGTACAGGGAAATTGAGTTTTCAGGTCCATACGGGCAAAAAAACATGTTTAGTCTATTTTGTGTTGTGTTTCTCCCTTGTGATGGGACTTTGATGGATGCACGTTGAGACGTGGCCAACAAGGTGTGAATTGGTCTGCAATTCAGATGAGAGTTTCACAGGTATGCTCCACACACTACTGCCAACTACATTGCACCTGGACCACACCCCGTATCACAAGCTAATCGGTTCTGGCACCGCTGCCGCTGTAGGCTGAGTTGAGAGCCCTGTCCCCCCCCCCTTGCCTCGTGGAGCAAAGTCAGCTGCCGATGTGGTGGTGGTGGGCTGGAACACGACACAGAGAGGGGTAGCTCCAATGGGGCGCGTTGGTGGGTGTGGTGGTGGTGGTGGGGGAGTCTTACCAACCCACCACCCCACCCCACGATTGTATAGAGAGGAGGAAGCAAAGGGCTCCGGGTCTGTAGCGAGAGAGAGAGAGCGAGCAATAGAGGAAGGGAAGGAGGCGGAGGGGAGGGGAACGTGAATCACCGGAGACGTCAGCCAAGCCCCGTTGCTTTACGAGGAGGCGCGCCGCAGTTTGTTGCAACTTTTGTGTTGCGGGCAGGACGTGTTTCGTACGCGCTACCCGACTTGGATAATAATAATTATTAACAAACAAATATATAGATATACTTCTTAAAGGAAGGCTGCTGCTCTCACCGCCGTTGCTTGGTGGCGTTATAATAAAGGGGGGTTTGTTTAGGAGGACATAGGGCGAGGCACAAGGGAAGAAGAGGCACCAGGGATTTGCGGATGATTTCGACTTGTTGAAGATGATGTCGGAGCGAGGCTCGTTGTTCCGCAGATGAAGAGGAGTTGTCGGCGGGACTGGAGCACACGAGGCGGGGTGGGGGTACGTGATACCGATACGTGTACATGTGACATACATACACACACACACACGTGTGCATGTACACGACACAGCCAAGTCTTGTCACGTACTTTAGTCATTGTGTGCCACGCGTGTAAGCGCACGCTCTGTGCACGTGCTTTGTCAAATACACGCGCTCCCATTTAAAGGGATCTTTGTCTCTATGCCGTGACTTTGTTACGCATGCATGTGGCCTGTGCATGAGCACGTGTGCTGCTTATGTACACAATCCCACATGTATGCGTACAGTAATATGCGTGTTTGAAAATTCTGTTTGAACTCTCTATCCATTGCGCGCGTGTTCGTGTGTAATGATGTTTGTACAAGGCAGTGCTACCTGCCCAGGTCGGCTATGATTATATTCAGTTCGCTCGTGTTATAATATCACAAGTCATGGCACTTTATGAATTATACCGGGGGGGAGGGGGGGCTATGAGCGGTGGCGCAGTGGTTAGCGCACTACGTTTTTGATACCCGGCCGGCTAAGTTCGATTCCGGTCGACGGCTGCTGCCAACGTCAAGTGACGATTGACGTCTGAACGTGTCCCAGGCGTGGGCTTCGAAGTCCGGTCAAACACACAAACAAGCAAACGCAAGCGGTGGATGTTTGACACCAGGTCATTGTAGATCGCGATTAGTTCTAGATTTGAAGCTTTCATGACCGCAAGGATTCATACTCTTAAGTTTTTTCGGTAAAGTCACGTAGGTAAAAAAAGCATTTTTTTATTTAAAAGCATTTTTATTAATTTTATTATTTATTTTTATTTTTACCTACGTGACTTTACCGAATAAACCTACGAGTGTCGCGATTAGTGCCGTGACAGCAGTGGGGCCCTGCATGGATGTGCGTGCAACCAGGGCGGAGAGAGAGAGAGAATGTCGGCCAGGGTCTTTGTGTGTCTTGGTGAATTGGCATCACCTGGGCGCTGTGTTTGTGTGATGTCTTCATCACCACCAACACCACCACCAACACAGCATGAGGGGGTGGGATACACTCTCAGGATACGGATACACACCGCACACGCTGTAGCATGTCAGATACAGGTGGAGCACATAAGAAGCACGGACATTGTGGAAGAGAAAGCCCTCGTTGACGACACCGGTATCTTGATGTGTGCTTGCGTTGGGGCGCATCGCCTTGTCAAGTCGTGAATGGTACGAGCAACAAAATAACGTCATAGATACCTTGATAAGAGTTACAAAGTCATCCTCGTGCATAATGGGGCTGTCATTTGGATTTGTATCTAAATGATAATCCCACACGGTCAGTCCCATGAGTTCGCGAATGACTTGCCCGTACCTTGAGGGTGTCTCTGGCAGTGTGAAACGTCTACACCCGTGCGAAAAGTACAGCAAATGTAACTTCGCGTGGAAATCGTCTACCGATATGTAGCAGAGGATGTTAAAATATTTTTTTCTTCTCCTGGCCGAATGGGACTGTCATTAAATAACTATTGGCAAGCACAACGAGCGGATTGGGGTGGCCGGCACCACGCCCGCCTATGGTACAACAATTTGAGGCCGAGACAACCTAGGAGGAGGCCGGTACAGATAATCGTCACCGGTGTTGGCCGTGAACGGGAATCGAACTCGGGTGGCCGGGGTCGATGGCGCAGCGCGCTAACCGCTGCACCACCGCTCCCACCACCCACAGTCACTTGCAAGAGGTCTTTGCAAGTGAATGAAGTCCTTGCAAGTGACAGGCGCGACTTAGTGAACTCAAGTTACACACCGTATAGTTCAATGTACAGAGTGTAAATATATGTAAACGTACAATGGCCATATCCTCTTGCATTAACTCAAACACACCGCAATCAATTGCAAGTGACAGGAGTGTGACTTAGTGAACTCAAGATATACACAGTATAGTTCAATGTACAGAGTGTAAATATATATAAACGTACAATGACCCCTGTTATGTACATGCCACGAATCTAAACAACACTGCATGCTTGCTACACTGCTGCCGTGCATTATTGTATCTGCAATCACACGCGCAATAAGCACTGAACCATCAGTGTTGAGATGAAGGGCTGGTAGATGTTCACAAACAACACTAAGTAGTATCTGATAGTGCGCTGTCTTTGAGTTGTACGCCTTTTGGCGTCATCTGGTCCAACACCATGTGAGACTAGGCTCTAAGAAAAGCTGTCTCGGGTGTGGACCAATCAACTTCAAGGACAGTGCATATTTTTATCATTATCAGAGTTTCTATACTATGGGAACCTCATTTGCCAGTAAAAATAAGATAATTGTTTTTTTACCCTTCTATCTGGCAACAAAACTGACACCTTTTTACAAGGAGTCATGTTTGCATAGACCGCAATACCTGCAGTCATAATACAAACAAAAGAACATAACTCTGATAATGTGCACTGTCCTTGAAGTTGATTGGTCCACACCCGAGACAGCTTTCCTTAGAGCCTAGTCTCACATGGTGTTGGACCAGATGACGCCAAAAGGCGTGTCAGTTTTGTTGCCAGATAGAAGGGTAAAAAACCAATTATCATTATCAGAGTTGTTTATTTTTGTTTGCATTTTGACTGCTTGTGTTGTGGTTATTGCAAACATGATACCTTGTATAAAGGTGTCAGTTTTGTACCAGTTTAAAGGGTAAAAACCTACTACAAGTAGTATAGTGTTTAGTGTTGTATGTATACTCTTATAGACGAAGGACCCCCCCCCTTCTCCCGTATCGCCTGCCAACAACAACAGACTTGGCAAGTTCCGTTAGTGAGCAGCAACCCCTGAAGGCCACCAGCAACCACACCCGGCCGCCTTTGTCTCCCCCCGGTGGCGATGTTCACTGCACACCGCACCAGGTTACTCATTTTGAGGCCGAGTCGACCTAGGGGAGGCCCAAGGAACCGCGGTGCGCCCAGAGGGTTTCGTAGAGGTAGAGCAGCTCGCTCACCGCTAACGCAGCCTGTGTGTGTGGATGAGGACACACACTGGTGCAACTGTTTGTGGTGTGTGATCAAAAAGGGTCATGGACCGAAACGTCACATGTACTCAATGTTTTATCCATCCACACCCCCCCCCTCGTAAGGGACTCTGCGTGTGTGTCTCTCTGTGTGTCTCTGCGTGTGTCTCTCTGTGTGTGTCTCTCTGTGTGTGTCTCTCTGTGTGTGTCTCTCTGTGTGTGTCTCTCTGTGTCTCTCTGTGTCTCTGTGTGTGTCTCTCTCTGTGTCTCTCTGTTGGTGTGTCTCTGCGTTGTCTCTCTCTCTCTGTGTCTCTCTGTGTGTGTCTCTCTGTGTGTGTGTCTTTCTCTCTGCGTGTCTCTCTCTGTGTCTCTCTCTGTCTCTCGTTGGGCAGCGAGGGGCAATGGCAGTAGCATTTTTTTCCCGCGCTCCCAGCATCGTTTGAATTTGCCTCTTTCTTATTTATTTAATTTCCCTTCCCCCCACTTCCCTTCCCTCCTCTCTCTCTCTGGAGTTTCCTTTAAAAACGGTCGCGCATTTTATCCGCTGGCTCCGAGCCATTGAACATATAGGCTCACACACACACAGGCTCTCACATACACACAGGCTCACACACAGGCTCACACACACAGGCTCACACACACACAGGCTCTCACATACACACAGGCTCACACACAGACACAGGCTCACAGGCTCTCACACACACAGGCTCACAGGCTCTCACACACACAGGCTCACACACACAGGCTCTCACACACACACAGGCTCTCACACACACACAGGTTCACACACACAGGCTCACATACACACAGGCTCTCACATACACACAGGCTCACACACAGGCTCACACACAGGCTCACACACAGACACAGGCTCACAGGCTCTCACACACACAGGCTCACACACACAGGCTCTCACACACACACAGGCTCTCGCACACACACAGGCTCACACACACAGGCTCACACACACACAGGCTCTCACATACACACAGGCTCACACACAGACACAGGCTCACAGGCTCTCACACACACAGGCTCACAGGCTCTCACACACACACAGGCTCTCACACACACACAGGCTCACACACACAGGCTCACACACACACAGGCTCACACACACAGGCTCACACACAGACACAGGCTCACAGGCTCTCACACACACAGGCTCACACACACAGGCTCTCACACACACACAGGCTCTCGCACACACACAGGCTCACGCACACAGGCTCACACACACACAGGCTCTCACATACACACAGGCTCACACACAGACACAGGCTCACAGGCTCTCACACACACAGGCTCACACACACAGGCTCACACACACACACAGGCTCACTCACACACACAGGCTCACTCACACACACAGGCTCACTCACACACACAGGCTCACTCACACACACAGGCTCACTCACACACAGGCTCGCTCACACACACAGGCTCACACACACAGACTCACACACACAGACTCACACACACACAGACTCACACAAACACACACAGGCTCTCACACACACACACAGGCTCACACACAGGCTCACACACACACACAGGCTCTCTCACACACACACAGGCTCACTCACACAGGCTCACCCACACACACAGACTCACACACACACACAGGCTCACCCACACACACAGACTCACACACACACACAGACTCACACACACACACAGGCTCTCACACACACACACAGGCTCACACACACACACAGGCTCACTCACACACAGGCTCACTCACACACACAGGCTCACCCACACACACAGGCTCACCCACACACATAGGCTCACAAACACAGGCTCACACACACAGGCTCACCCACACACAGGCTCACACACACACAGGCTCACACACAGACTCACACACACAGGCTCACACACAGGCTCACATCCACACATACAGGCTCACACACACAGGCTCACACACACAGGCTCACACACACACAAGCTCACACACACACAGGCTCACACACACACAGGCTCACACACAGGCTCACACACACACACAGGCTCACACACACACAGGCTCACTCACACACACAGGCTCACTCACACA